GGGATGGGTTTATATGGCGGACGTGTTTAAATAAATATTTATAAAATTTTAAAATATCATTAACATGCCGCTTTAATACGGATTAAATCTTCAGTTTAGTAACAATTGTCTCCTGGACTCGTGGTATACCGTTACTTAATAACAATTATAAATTATAAAATATAAATATTTTATAATAAAATACATTTTTTAAAATTTTATATATACTAACTTTAAAAAATAAATCATCATGCGGTGTACCGCAGGTTAAAATCTAGTTTTATCAATCACCAAAACTTTCGCCAAATATTCATTATTATTGTTGCTAAATTTTCTAAAAAAATAGTTCTCTAATTCTCAGCTACAATATGATCGCAAAATTTTCTTAGAAAATATTCTATATGCAAACCACTAGTAAAACCTTTATTTATTTACAACCATTACAAATGTACTATCTATTGTACCAATAAAATATATTTTTTACCATTTATTTTCTACTTCTGAAGTATGCCCTCCACTATCATCACCACCATCTCCAAGAGGTCTCTACAAATGCATTAGGCTAACTATATATGTCTCTTCATTTTCACTTTGCATAGTTATTTTATATAATAAATTGTTGACTCAAAAATATTAAGATTGAAAATATAATACATATCAATAATTGATGATACCTTATCGGAAAGACTAAGGTTAAAAAAATGTTAAATATACTCGATTGCTAAGAGTATATGACCAAACAACAAATGCTGAGGAATTAAAAATAATATTTTAATTTGCCATCACTAAAAAATATTATAAGCACAATAATATATGAAATTTAGATAACTAAAAATTAAAATTAAAATTCTAAAAATACTACAACAAATAAAAAAATTACTAAAAACGAAGAAATATATAATGATCTAACATATTAGATTCTGAAAAATAAATTCAAATACATAATTATTGAAATTTATTTTAAATCATCACATACTAACTACAAAAAAAAAATTGAAATAAATAATTTCAATTTTGAAACAAAAATATAACACATGAAAAAATCTCTGATCGATAAATTTAACACGTTTCACGATTATATTAGTTACTAATTCTGATAACCCAAAATTTTATATTAAATTAATATCTTTTAAATATAATATACAAATTATTACTATCATTAATCTATAATACAAAATAATACATAATTTAATAAACTAGAGTACTAGATGACAAAAAATAATCTAACTAAAATATATATTTGAAAAGACTAATATATAAATTAATATTTTTTTTCCTAACTATAATTATAAATTGAAAATTTTGAATCTAATAAAAGATCAATAACACGTGTTACATCATGAATCATAATGTAATACCAACTAAAATCATATATATGGAAGTTGGTCAACTCTCTGCATTTGAGTGATACCTCCGCAATTGAGGAGAGGACATATGTACTTCTCAAAACTAATAGTTAATGACTTTTTTTTTTTAAGTAACATAAATAATTATGTGACATTTAAATTTTCTTTTACTTTTTTAAACACCACTTTTGAGTTTTATAGTAATATTGTTTTTACCTCTTCTAGCTACTTCCACCATGGGGTTTTTATTCTTGGATTTTGTTAGGTCTCTAACACCAAGAACATAACAAAAACCTTTTGCAGTTCTCCATTATTTATTTTGAATACAATTTAAATGTATTTTTTAGAGTCGATTAGTTTCATACACTTTTTTTGAAAATAATTAAGAAACATTAGAAATTTTTTTAGTATTTACAGGTGAAGAAAGAGAAATTAGTACAACAGTAAATTTTGGACGAAAAAATCCTCTAAAATATAAACGGGAAAATTCCGTAGGGAACATATGCATCAGGGAATCTGCAGTGGGCCACCAATTATTAAATGCATGCATCGATAGTATCATCTATTACGAAATTAAGTATTGTGATATCTTATTTTTATCAGATACATGAATATATATCTTATATCGTAAAATTCAATTAATGTTGTTTACATATCATATATATATATATATATATATATATATATATCATGATATAACAATATATATCATAACATATATATCATGATATATCAATATATATCAATATAGAACATTGTGGTGGGTGTTGTGGATTGTATGTTATAGTGAAGGAGGAGGTGATGGTGATGTGAATGGAGAATATGTTAGCGGTGGAGGAGGAGGTGGTGGTGGTGGTGATGGAGAATGAGAGTATGTTGGCGACAACATAAGTGGAAGACGGTAAAGACGAATGAATTGGGAGATAAAGATGTTTAACCATCACTGATTGACGATAGCGTTGCCGGTTTGATGGTTTTCTAAAACATCTCTGAAATGAACGATACTAAACCCGCGACGTCTCCATAGCAAAAAATTGGTGAGGTTCAGTGAGTGCATTCTAATCAGAAAAATATGGCTATTTTAATAAAATCAAAATATCATAATTTAGGATGCAATTAGTTTAACAATTAAGATAAATCATTCTTTTGGGGTTCTTAATAAAGTCAAGAAAGAAGAAAATGATAAAGAGAAAAAAAAAACGAAGAAGGACGGAAGGAGTATGCGTGGTGTGAGAGGTATTTATGACTTTTTGCCAGATGTTCTTTTATTTACAAGTTTGCTACTTTTCTTTTGAATTAATTTATGGTTTTACGTATGAAGCACAAATTTTTTTTTTTTAATACTCTTTAAAGTTTTAAATATTAAAAAACAGTTAAAACCAACAAAAAAATAGAAATTGTTTTATATATCATATATTCATATCATATTTTGTGATGTATTTTTGTTAACTACAAAAATAAACAGCGCAACATCACTTTGCTAATATTTCTTCTTCATCCAAAAAGGTATAAGAGCAACATTATTGGTAGTCTCTTAATATTGGTTCTTAGCATTTTTTAAGAATAAATTTTTCTTTTTTCAAACTTAAGAAATTGAATAGGAGTTCTTAAGTTTTTTCCCCTCCAATGGTAAGAATATTAATGGGGTTCTTAAGAAAAAATTCAAATTCTGAAAGTTTTATATGAGTATATGAACTTGCCTTCTCTACTTGCCATGTGATGCTTGCCATCTTCTAGTTGAAGTTTTGGTTTGGACAAAAGATTCACCAAGTCTGCAGCCCACAAAGAAGGATAGAACAGTGTAGTGTCAAGATGAACCATACCCAACTCAGATAGATAGTGAACCATGTTCTCCACCTACACAGCACAAAACCAAACACATGTTGTTAGGCTCGTGGATAACAGAATAAGTGATGTTCCATGACGAAGCAATCACAAGAACAAGTACAACTCTATACATGGTGAGTAAAATTCTGCAAATTGATCTACTCAAAAAACTTGTGAAGTTCCTTTTGTATAAGATAGACAAAGGATTAAACTTTCATTTTTGAATCTGAATCCAAATCCAAAACCAAACCAAACCAAACCAAAGAAACGCAGATAAGATGATTATGGGAATGAAAGCCATAGATTTCTATACAAGGAAATGAATTATCCATCAACTATTGAATATAAGAGAGACAAGAAGCCTTATGTCAATAGACCACATTCCATGAATCACATAAACTCATATTCTTCAAGTAAAAGAGCATCATCAAGCTAACACACTACTAGCTTAACAATATTTTCAACAATCATAACTCAGAAGTATTAGAAACGTTTTTATTTGGTAATGATTTCTCTGTTTAGATGATAATCAGTCTTATAATGTTGTCAAGCAAGCTAATTCCATCATTCTGAATCTTTGTTCCTATAGTATTCGACATGCAGAAACAGTAGTATTAAGCATTTAAATCTACACCAATCTATGCAAATTTATCACAAAACAATCACTGTCACAAAACAATCACTAAGCTCTCATGTCCAATAAAACTACAACCTAATTGAATCTATACATATCGCATAACAATCAAATTGTTGAAAATATCAATTATCTGATCAAATTCTACATGATTAGTCCATCAAATATGTTCGATAAAGAGAGAAGCGTACGAGTAAGTTCCGATGACGGGAGCAAGGAGGAGAATAGTGATGATCCAATTCTCAGAGACCATGTGATGGATCTTCTCTGAAAGATCCTTCCATAGACCTGCCATGATCTTCTGCTGAAACGGCGATAATGCCTAAACCACCGCCTTCAATTTCACCGGCTGCTTTCCCATTTTCGTCGATCAAATCTCTGATTCCGATAAATGAGTTTGCAAAGAACCGATTCACGAAGAAGAATCAACTAATCAGAATTGGGGAAACGAAGAAAAGGTATATGGAGCTTTAGGAATGTGGGATCAAAACGAAAAATACGCACAAGGAGACAGTTTCTTCAACGATTCGGATCATATTTCCTAAGCCGCGGTGAAACGCCGTGGACAACCAGAGTCGGTGGAGATGACGAGCTAACGGTGGAACGACGGCCGGAGGTGTAGTGACGCCTTGACCATGCCGTGTGGGCGCACCATGGCTAAGAACGACTTAGCATGTGGCATAGATAGTTCTTGGGATGGTCGAATCTAGAGAAAGATTTGAAGGCATAAATTCCGAGAATCGAGGCAAAGGCGTCAGAAAAGTAATCATTTGTCGGAGAGAGAGACTCCACCTTTTTGACGAAACCGAGGCAATGATTATATCTCTGGCCCAATCAAAAGAAAGATATTGCCTTTAGTATAAGTTACCTTCTTGGACGAAATCGAGGCAATGATTGCAGTTCTGAGCCAATCGTTGAGGAAGAGTATAACCAAAGGGACAAGTTACCTCTTTTGGACAAAACGAGGTAATGATGAGCTTGGGACGCACGAACATCGAACCAATCGTGGAGAAGGAGTGTTGCCATGAGTTGGGCGACACAAACTTCGACCCAATCACAAGGAAACATGTTCCATAGGGTTGGGCAACGCGAACTCCAAGCCAATCGGTGGAAGAGTGCCTTTGTGGGTTTGAGTCCCCCAAGACGCGACATGTGTCTGTCATGCGTCAAGACTCATCCTGTATAAATAGAACCAAGGCTTTGGGGCTTAAGTCATTCTACCAAAAACTAGAGAGAAATCATGAGAGAGAGCTCTCTGAAATCTCCGGTGAAGTGACGGCCGCTCCTGAAGCTAACGGTAGAGGTGGACGACGGAGTTCTGGACGAAGTATCAAACCAGAAGTTCCCGATCAGGGTTGTTATTCCGCTAAGACATCACAATCATCCGATCCGCTTAATCACAGTGAGTTCCGAAGCATGTATGGTGGCACATGATTTACTTTGTATGCTTGCTTGTTGGTTGTGTGCTTGTTGATGTTGTTGTGGATTGATCGTCGAATTGATAAGGATTATCATTCATGTCATGTATGCTTGATGTTTTAAGTACGCTTCGTCGTAGCTTAGTTGCATGCATATAGAGTTTGTGGTGTTCGAGTGCGCTTCCCTGTTTTTATTGGACTCAGAGAGACTGGGTCGCTCCCAAAAGGCCGAGTGTTGCATGACGATGCAACGGGGATTGCCCGTCGTGGAAGGCCCATGTGGTACATTGCTTGTAGACTTAGTGGCTACTAGCGGATTGTTCACTTGTTTCGATGGGAAGGATCGTTCACATGGCCATAGGATTTTGTTGTTATCATTTACCTGTGCATTCATCATACGGCATAACCGTTGCATTTGATTTACTCGTTGATTATCGCATGCTATTGATTGCTTGTTGCTTGTTGCTTGACTAACGCTTATTGTTTTGGGTTGGGTTGTTTAGCTTCCGAGATTAGGCGCCGAACTCACTGAGTACTTGTATTCATGATTCCACCATTTTTGTTGCAGGAAAGCTTAGGGGGAAAAGCCGTAGAGGGTCGTTGGGACAATAGGATCTTGGTGTAGATTGTTGGGTAGAAATGTAAAGGCTACTATTGTGTATTATGTATTGTGAAATGGGATCCCCGGAAACCTTATATGATTGTTTGTGCGATTTGTATGATATTATACTAAGTATAAAAAGGTTTTCTCATAATGAGGATGGTTTGATGATATAAGGTTCTGTCCGAACCACATAACTTCCTTTCCCGGTAAAAGGTTGGCAAGCCGGATATCGGGATTGGAAGGGACGGTACTAAGCGGGGGCAGGTCAGGGGAGAGCTTGGTGCTTAAACCTTGATCCGCTCGTGAAAAGTACTTGTCACATGTACAATTCTAGCCGGGCTATTTCTAGCACGGTTCAGGGTCGCTACAGTTTTAGGTGGTATCAGAGCATGGTTACAGATGCTCGGGAACCATCCCGCTTTTCAAATGTTTTATCTAGTCAAAATTGACTCGCATTTCTACCTTAGGATAAACCAAGTTGTCTCGACGTGAGGTCTAGGTAGATGAGAATCTTTAGGACTAACCTTGCTTTGGTGATGCAGATGCCTTCGCGACACACTAGACTTTCGGGCGGACGACTGTGGGGTTTTTCGTCAAACGCTGGACCAAGCAACATGTACGGGAATAGTGGTGATAGTTCTGACGATTCAGTGATTCCGTCGGAACATGTGAGACAGATGTTGGAAGGATCGGAATCGGAGTCTTTCATGGCTACGAGCCCTTCGGTGACTTCGGTTGAATCCATTTCTACGAGAGAAATAGTAGGTTCGGATAGTTCATTCGAGTCGGATCCATTAGAAGATCCTGAGGAGTTTGAGGATATCGTCAAGACGAGTGTGGAGTCTGACGAAGTTGTGCCTCTAGTGGATTTGGGAGGAAACACTGGAAGTGTTCCAGTCTCGGATTTTGTGGTAATTTCTGACGATTCTGTGGAGGATTTTTCGGACGAGTTTGAGGAGTCTGAGGAACAGATAGCGACTGGATATCTCTACGGAGATGTGGACGCACCTATGTGGGAAGGTCCAGATGGGGTCTTGTACGAGTTGACTTCAGGCGAATCGGGACAGCCGGCAGTTTATGCGAATTCTCACCCGCCGTCGCCGGACAGTTGGTCAACACTTGGATCGTTCGGCTCATTGTCTCTTGAGCCAGATTTTGCTTTCTCCGACTTATCATCGGAGGAAACTAATTCGCGAGGTTCAGACTGCGTGGTGTTTTTGCCGACGGAATATGGGATTCCAAGGCAAGCTTTGGCTTGCAACATGGTGGCACCGAGTGAAGTGTTCGCTACACCGCCTGGTCCGTCGTCTCCGGATTTTGTTAAGGTATCATCGGATGATGAGTTAGCTAATGCTGAAGAATCGGGAACGGAGTTGCCAATCCCTAACTTCGTGAAGGCTGAATCGCTTAGGGTGTCTACCCCGCCAATAAAGTTTGCGACCCGAACTTGGTATCCTGGTTATCATGGTGAAGAAGGTGTTGAGTCGTCCCATGCGAATCTTGAGAACCATGTTGGCGATCAAGAAGTGCCAGACGTAACGGCTAATTGCGAGACTTTGTTCGCTAATTCTCCGCGTGTTGAAAAACTTGGAGTGTTGTTTCCTCCGAACGAAACGCTTTACGAACCAACTCTTGGTTCGAGTTCCTTGGATGCTATGATCCAGAATATGATAGCTGTTGGAACCCTTGGTGTTGAACCGATCCGACCACCCGAAGGTATGCCCGTTTGGAATGAAAGGATGAGGAGATCCGCGGATGGAACCGTTGTGACTGAGTTGGAGCGTGAGGATGGACGTAGGTCCGAACCTTATAGTGTGACGCCGTTTTGCTTCACTTGCGGCCAAGATGGTCATTATCCGAGAACTGTCCTTATGTTCGTCACTATCATCCCTATGCTCGCCCGTACGTTGTCTGTTTCGAGTGTGGTGATAAGGGTCACTATGCAAGCGTTTGTCCCAGGAAGTATCCCGAGAATCCCGGTCCGTCAAGTCCAAGTCCAAGTGCGTCCGCGAGGAAGTCGAAGGGAAACCTTAGTACTTACTAGGATTTTCTCTAAACCTTCAACAGTTAAGTCCAGACGAGGTAAGTAAGGGCTCTAACCCATTGTATGATTTCGTGTTGCATGTTAGCATCATTTGCATTTAATTGTTTCTCTTTTCGGCTTGTAACCGCTTGGCGGAGCGTATGACTAAGTGTTTAGCGGTCATAATCCGCGGTTGTAATGAAAGGGTATGTGTAAACCCGAATTTTGTAAGAGAGGGTATGTGTAAACCCGCCTTTTGTAAGAACAGTATGAATGAAAGATATGTTTATGAGGGAAACAAAATCTTGTCATTGGATACCTTGTGTTTTGTGATAAACGGAATCGTGATGATGTGATGCGGAAAAATATTGTGATGCTTGAGTGTACAAGGAAGTACATCAAGAGATTTTTGTGATGAGTTGTTCGATCATCTTGGGATCAAGGATGGTTATTCTAGAGGGAACTTTCAAAAATACGGAAATCTTTGAAGTGTTGAACTTAGTCTATCTATGTGAGATAACTAAGTAGTTATGTTGTTTAAGTCTCAAGTAATGGAACACTTGTGAATTGGACGAACAAGTGTAAGATGGCATGGAGGAATGAAAGGAACCGGATCAAGAGAAAGGATCGCAGACTTGCCTTGTCATGCTCACGCTAAGTTCAATCAAGAAGGAGAAGATCTTCAAGATTGGAGTGCTGAATCTCCGAAGGGAGAATTGTTTCCGTGTAGTTGATCATAAGTTCTAGGATCACTACATAAGGGAAGGGCCTGGATTATTGAGTTTTATTTAAGACAAGGAAAGAAAGTCTTGAGTAAATATTCCAATCCACAAGCTAAAGGCCGAGAGTGTTGAGACCCTCATTTGGGCTTCAAGTGGAAGTTATACACTCGCATGAATGGAGAATTTGTGAGGAATCGGAATGGATTGAGAATCCATAACCGAAGTTTCGTAGATCCCCGGGATGTTTAAGCCGGAAAGCTTAAGTACTAAAACAACCGAGAAGCTCGACGATAAAGAATTTCAAGGAAGTTCTAGCCAAGTGAAGAACGCCGACGATTTATCTCGTTAGGAATTCGGGAAGAATTCCAATGAGAGGGGGTGAATGTAGTGACCCGGTCTTGGGCATAAAATTTGTCCGGACGGATCGCGTTCTGAACCAAGTGTCAGAGTCGAGCAAAATTGAAAGTCTCTTGTGTTCGAAGAACTTGGACGTAAGTTAGGACTTTTTAACGAGAAATAGTTAATATCTCTCGAAGAGATGAGTTTTGATAGAAAGAAACTCGTTTCGGGATCGTCCGGTGAACGATTCACCGTGTGTGACAAATGGAGAATTTAAAGGAGGTTATAAGGAATCGGGAAAAAGACTTATAATCGAAAATACTAAGTAAAATCCTTTTACTTGGCTATGTTAGTTTGGGTCATGTCCGGACATCATGGAACCGGACTACGCCTTGACCATGCCGTGTGGGCGCACCATGGCTAAGGACGACTTAGCATGTGGCATAGATGGTTTTTGGGATGATCGAATCTAGAGAAAGATTTGAAGGCATAAATTTCGAGAATCGAGGCAAAGGCGTCAGAAAAGTAATCATTTGTCCGAGAGGGAGACTCCACCTTTTTGACGAAACCGAGGCAATGATTATATCTCTGGCCCAATCAAAAGAAAGATATTGCCTTTAGTATAAGTTACCTTCTTGGGCAAAATCGAGGCAATGATTGCAGTTCTGAGCCAATCGTTGAGGAAGAGTATAACCAAAGGGACAAGTTACCTCTTTTGGACAAAACGAGGTAATGATGAGCTTGGGACGCACGAACATCGAACCAATCGTGGAGAAGGAGTGTTTCCATGAGTTGGGCGACACGAACTTCGACCCAATCACAAGGAAACGTGTTCCATAGGGTTCGGCAACGCGAACTCCAAGCCAATCGGTGGAAGAGTGCCTTTGTGGGTTTGAGTCCCCCAAGACGCGACATGTGTCCGTCATGCGTCAAGACTCATCCTCTATAAATAGAACCAAGGCTTTGGGGCTTAAGTCATTCTACCAAAAACTAGAGAGAAATCGTGAGAGAGAGCACTCTGAAATCTCCGGTGAAGTGACGGCCGCTCCTGAAGCTAACGGTAGAGGTAGACGACGGAGTTCTGGACGAAGTATCAAACCAGAAGTTCCCGATCAGAGTTTTTATTCCGCTAAGACATCACAATCATCCGATCCGCTTAATCACAGTGAGTTCCGAAGCATGTGTGGTGGCACATGATTTACTTTGTATGCTTGCTTGTTGGTTGTGTGCTTGTTGATGTTGTTGTGGATTGATCGTCGAATTGATAAGGATTATCATTCATGTCATGTATGCTTGATGCTTTAAGTACGTTTCGTCGTAGCTTAGTTGCATGCATATAGAGTTTGTGGTGTTCGAGTGCGCTTCCCTGTTTTTATTGGACTCGGAGATACTGGGTCGCTCCCAAAGGGCCGAGTGTTGCATGACGATGAAACGGGGATTGCCCGTCGTGGAAGGCCCATGTGGTACATCGCTTGTAGACTTAGTGGCTACTAGCGGATTGTTCACTTGTTTCGATGGGAAGGATCGTTCACATGGCCATAGGATTTTGTTGTTATCATTTACCCGTGCATTCATCATACGACATAACCGTTGCATTTGATTTACTCGTTGATTATCGCATGCTATTGATTGCTTGTTGCTTGTTGCTTGACTAACGCTTATTGTTTTGGGTTGGGTTATTTAGCTTCCGAGATTAGGCGCCGAACTCACTGAGTACTTGTATTCATGATTCCACCATTTTTGTTGCAGGAAACCTTAGGGGGAAAAGCCGTAGAGGGTCGTTGGGACAATAGGATCTTGGTTCAGGGTCGCTACAGGAGGTGCTTAATGTAACACCCTGATTTCAGGAATATGGTGGTGCATGCAGAGAGGTTTAAGAGAATTGATTTGGCCACCTATGTCACCAAACTGCACTTATCTTTTCGGTCAACTGTCCTGAGAGAACTCCAGAGTTAAACGTGCTTGGGATGGAGTAGTATCAGGATGGGTGACCTTCCAGGAAGTGATTGTCGGAACTGTGTGAGTGAGGACAAAAATAGGAAAAGATCATGTGGTGATTTGTAGGGTCGGTAAACAAGTCTTTAAACCCTCCCGGACGTAGCAGACCGTCCGTCGGACAGGGGTGGGCCCATGGGCCCGAGAGAGGACGTGGGACCCACTGGTAGGGACGGTCGGGGCGTTACAAGTGGTATCAGAGCCGAACGCAGACGTGTGTGGAGTCAGGAGGGCTCACACCGTCGGGGGTTACGGTCTTGGTGCGCAACGAGGACGTTACGATCTGTTAATGGGGGTGAATTGTAACACCCTGATTTCAGGAATATGGTGGTGCATGCAGAGAGGTTTAAGAGAATTAATTTGGCCACCTATGTCACCAAAGTGCACTTATTTTTTCGGTCAACTCTGAGAGAACTCCACAGATAAGCGTGCTTGGGCTGGAGTAGAATCAGGCTGGGTGACCTTCCAGGAAGTGATTGTCGGAACTGTGTGAGTGAGGACAAAAATAGGGAAAGATCATGTGGTGATTTGTAGGGTCGGTAAACAAGTCTTTAAAGCCTCACGGACGTAGCGGACCGTCTGTCGGACAAGGGTGGGCTCATTGGCCCGAGAGAGGATGTGGGGCCCACTGGTAGGGACGGTCGGGGCGTTACAAGTGGTATCAGAGCCGAACCCAGACGTGTGTGGAGTCAGGAGGGCTCACACCGTCGGGGGTTACGGTCTTGGTGCGCAACGAGGACGTTGCGATCTGTTAATGGGGGTGAATTGTAACACCCTGATTTCAGAAATATGGTGGTGCATGCAGAGAGGTTTAAGAGAATTGATTTGGCCACATATGTCACCAAAGTGCACTTATCTTTTCGGTCAACTCTGAGAGAACTCCACAGTTAAGCGTGCTTGGGCTGGAGTATAATCAGGATGGGTGACCTTCAGGGAAGTGATTGGCGGAACTGTGTGAGTGAAGACAAAACACAGGGAAAGATCATGTGGTGATTTGTAGGGTCGGTAAACAAGTCTTTAAAGCCTTCCGGACGTAGCGGACCGGCCGTCGGACAGGGGTGGGCCCATGGGCCCGAGAGAGGACGTGGGGCCCACTGGTAGGGACGGTCGGGGCGTTACACTTAACATCGAAAACTCCTCCGATTTGATCGCTTCCGGTTTGTTTCTGTTTCTTGTTGAATTCACGAAATGAGAGAGAAAAAAAAACACCCACTTGCATGCTGCCACGTGGACGTCTCGTAGCTCTGTTCTAAGAACACACTAAGAGAGTTGCGATAAAGATGGTCTAAGGAAATCTCTATTGGGGGTTTCTCATCGAGAAACTCTTTATTAAAATATTAAAAAAAATAGAAAAATGATGAAAGAGGGAAGAAACGTTTCTCTGCAGAGAAACCTCTAGATGCCCATATCTACATGTGTCTTTCTTTTATTGGTTCAAACTAATATCTAATTAATTAAATAATAAAATCATATAAAAGTTATATTATTGTATTGTTTAGATACCCAAATGGGTATATAACTGATGAAGGTGGTCTAAGATACGTAGATCTATGTCAACTATAATTATAAGTAACTAGAAATTATACTAAATGTAAAGGCACATAACAATTCAAGAAAACAGTTTTACAATATTTCTTTCAACTATTTTAAAATATTTATTTGAATTATACTAAATATAAAGGCATAACAATTCAAGAAAACTATTTAATAGTATTTTCTTTCAGCAATTTTTGGAATATTTATTTCATATGACAATATCGTAGTTAACTTTCTTAACAACAAGTCAGTAATTTAAGCAATTAGAATCAAGACATATATATATATATCAAACATGATATTTAGAAAAACGAATATAGAAGAACCGCAACTTAGCGCGGGTATACCGTATACACCTAGTTCATATAATTTTTAAAGGATTATGGCATCAACAATAGAGTACTCAATGCACGTATAAAGTCGCCGAATAAAATTATTTTTTTCTTGAAACTTTTTTTATTCCTATCATTATCAATTTCAATTTCTTATATAAAAAAGGAACATAAAGAAAAAGCTTATAACCAAAACATATGGGATTACTAATAATAAGTAATGAATACGAGTGTATCACATGACGATATGTCTCTTCTCTTTCCTTTATTCCATCTCATTCATCCATCCTACT